AGCATCCTTATTCTGAACTTGGAAAATCTCACAAGACACCCTTCCAGACACTGTGTCTGCGTTAGGAAGGTATAGATCTTGGATAGGTCCTCAAACAATGGTGTGCCCAGGGCCACTGGGATTAGAGTCCAAGGAGTCTGACACGTGAGATACATGTCATTGTCATGCCTCATTCTTTGCAGCAAATTCTTGTAGGCTTCAAACTTGGTAGGGGCTGGGGCTGGGCAGAGTTCCAGCTAGCTTCACTGTGAAAAAATTATGATTGAAATCACCAACTGTTCCCTGACACCTGCATTCCCCCAGTACAAGGAGAATGATACATGGCTGCTGGTGACGGCACAGCACAATAAAACCTGATAGGACTGAGCAGTGGCTGTGGAATCAGACTGGTCCTCGAGGGTCGTTGCCATGGCGCTGTCTCAGAGGCGGAGGCCTTTCTGACAAGGTCCTTATGCTATTGCAGATGAAATCCCTTAGACAGGATCCAGAGTGGCTTAGCTTAGCCTTCCAGTACATTCTCCACAACATGGTCACAGGGAAAACCGTTCCAATGAATATCAGTTACTTAAAAGGATCTTATACTCATTCTCCAGATGTTGGTATTAAGATATTCATGTCAATTGTCTTGCTAACAGAGCTTATTACATCAGTGATGACAATCAACACGTTGGATATGAGAATAAAATATCATATGACCAAGTATTTTGTGCTTGGTACTCTGCTAAAATTATTTCATACACCTTTATACATGTATGTATGTGTATATGTGTGTATGTATGCATGTACACACATACCATATACACATGAACACATATGTATTCGTGCCCCATGATTTTTTTCTCTTTTCTTTACATAATGCCATTTTTAAAACAACTTTGGTAAGTGAAGGCTTTGCTCTGAAAACCAAGGGCGTTCAGCATCATTCTTTTGAGGTCCACAGTGAGGTTTGCGCCTACCTGCAGGCGTTGCAGTTAGTGTGAAAGGTTCAAGGCCTTGGACCGTGGCCTTGCCTGTGCCGTTGTGGGGTTTCCTTCCTTCCCCTGCCTGACAGAGAGCATCGAGGTTGTGATGGGGAATGAGAGAGTCCTGGCCACGGTGTCAGCAGGTGAACACTGCTCCTTCTCTCTGCAGCCTCGTTATCCAGTGGAGGTTTGTGAACAGGGTCCAGAAACAGATGAACGCTTTCCTGGAGGTAAGTGTGCTGGCCGCTGCTCTGCTAGTGCCGTGAACAGAGGTCAAGGGGGTGTTTTCCTCACGCGGCTGGCGGGCTGGAATTGTTCTTGCACCTGGAGAGGGGGTTAGGAGTGGGGCCACAGGGGGAACATCAGGAATCCCACCTCACCTCTGCCCCGCCTCTGCAACCAGAGTGTATTGTTACCCAGATGCTGCCTTTTGTTTTGTTTTTTTTTAATTTTTCTGGTTCATGTTCTCTTGCCTTGCCTGTCTTGCCTTCAGTTTTCCATAACTGATTCTATATAGGACTTTTGGTGAACTTAACCAGGAAGGCCAGGCCCCCACAGAGGCCAGGACTGTTGTCCTTAGTTGTCAGGCTGTACCCACTGGAGGCTGGGAGACACATTCCTGCCTCTTGCTGAGGTGTCAGGTTCTGAGAACTTTAAGGACTCAGAGCTGAAGGGTATAAATGGCAGTTTCCAGTTATGCCATTCCTTCCTTGTAGTGATGGCGTCCCCTTCAAACATTGTGTCTATCCCCTGCCCATCCTGCATGGCTATCTTAAAAACTCCTCGCAGACTACCTTCCTATGCAGATATGTATAGAACACAGTTCCTTGAGCTGGGCTTTTTTTTTTTTTTTTTGTACCAAGCCACCTTGTGCCAGCTTTCACCCTGTTTGAGAGGTGACACTGACACTTCTCATATAAGCTGCAAAAGCTGGAATCTATGTAAGAAAGAAACCTGTCAGAGAAGGAAGACTTAAATATTTTCCACTAAAATTGGGCAAGAGAAAAATGGTAAGACTGCACCCTATCAAAGGCAGTCCTGTCTGGTTCCAGCTCACAGGTTTCACTGTATTTCATGTCAGTGAGGCCCCAGGCAGTATATGAGGCCCAAGTAGAGGCATCTTTTTAAAAAATGTCTTACTTTGGCCAAAAGTAAGTTTAAATCTTCCTCATGGCTGGTTTTGGGCGGTAGAAGTGGTTAAGTGCTCAGCCACTAACCAGAAGGTTGGCAACTCCAACCTAACCCTCAGGCACTTCAGGAGACAGGCACCCCGGTGAATGGCCACAGCTGTGAAACTTCAGGGAGCAGTTTTATCTGCACATGTGAAGCTACCACATCATCACTTGTTACTTAAAAGATAGCATGGGAAACACAAGTGCACGTTTTTAATTTCTACTGAAGGGACAGAGTTCCCACTTGGTGCTGGTCACAGAAGCTTGCCCCCTAGCCAAGGCCAGGGGCTTGGTGCCATTTTTGTAGGAGGTGGACATACTTGAGAGCAGTGGGTCTGATGCCACGTATGACAAGCCCCCACCAGGTGAGCCGCACTGTGGAACCCCCAGCTTCATAGCGTGCAGGGCCCTGAGGTGCTTGCACCCTCACTCCAGGTCATGCCTAGCTGTGTGAATGGCAGCAAGAGCTTGGTCTTCTGTACCTCAGTCTCTCCACCGGCCTAGGCTGCTACTTTTGCATTTCATGTCTGTGCCTTCCACGAGTCATGTGTGAAAATGTTCTGTTGCATGTCTAGGGCCTGTGTATTTCAGGGCTGCTAACTCACAGCAATGTGTCACATGTGGCTTTTGGGATCCACCTGCTAGTAGGACCCCACCTTTTCATAGGGTTTCAAATTTTACTCAAGTTCTTGAATACTCTAGATTATGCTGTTTTCCACTGTGCTATGTTTTTATTGCAATTACAGCAATTTGACACCATCATGGATACAGCAATCATCAGCTTAAAAAAATGTCTCTTTTTCTAAAATTTTTTTTTTAATGCATTTCCCAGCTCAACAAAAAGAAATTTGTTTTGCCTTTAAAACTTGTCTCTTTCAAGGAACATGTTTAGGCTGATTTTTTTTTCTTCTGTTTTTACTTTCAGGGATTCACAGAACTGCTTCCTATTGATTTGATTAAAATCTTTGATGAAAATGAACTGGAGGTTTGTATTGTGAACATCATTTACTGTATAGAAGATAAAAAGTATCTCTCGTTATCTTACGAGGTTTTACTGTTCTCTGCTGCATGCTATCCTAAGGAGTAAGTTGTGATGAATTTGATTCCATGACTCTTGTCTATGGGGCTCATTTGTTTGCTGAGTTGAGGGTAAGGAATAGCAGAAGTAGATGGCTATGGATCTTTGCCCGTTAGAAGGCAATTCTGGCACATGATAGGTGAGCACAGACCCATCCCCTGAGCTGGTTCGTGGTCTTGTGCACACCTGGTAAGGAAGCTGCGTCAGGTACAGCCGAGGGTTAAGCACTCCTTTGGGGTGTCAGTCCCCTGCTTACAAGGCCCCCCTGGCCAGGGGTCCTAAGCTGCCTCTCCATCCCTACTGTGGCAGCTAAATGGGGGGACTTGGCTACACAAAGTGGGGGTAAGCATCTCCTAGGGGCTGGAGACAAGCTGTCTAACTAAACTTAAATAGGAAAAACACCAGACGGCAAGGGAGTAGCAAAAGCAAAAGGTGGTTTAATGGTTTAATGATTGTCTGCTTCAGCTGCTTTGTGTGACTGAGGTGTGAGAGCTTGCAACCTGAGAACAGGGCATTTCTGACCCTTTCGTGAGTGGCAAGAAGCAGAAGGAAGCCTGAGACCGCTGAGAAGCTGTTGCTGGGGCTTAATTAGCCATTTGTCCAGCAATTATCATAGACTGGCTTTCTGTACTTTTATCTTAAGATGAAACTTCAAGGCAGATGATGGCACAGAAATCCTATAGGGTCCGCCTTGTAGGTGAAGGCGGTGACCTCACAAGCTCACCCGGTGAGGTGCTGGCAGAGGCCGGGCAGGAACCTGGCGCCTAGGCTCTGTTTCATTCTCTCTCCTTGTCTCTGGTGTCTCTACAGGACTGTCATACTCCATTTTTTTCACAGAGAACTTTCCCTACTGGCAAGTTACATAATTAAAAAAGCAAACCTCCATGACAAGTCCAGGCATCAATGCCAGCATCAGTACAAGGGCACAGGCCACTGAACAGTTTAGGTAATTTCTTGTCACCTGGCTGGATCAGGCTCGGGAAGATGCGTTCTGGCTGTCACAGTGCTGATTCTTTGGAGTTGAGGGCAGATATTTTTAAATATGGTGATAGATAACCACTCAGAAAGGAAAACGTTAACCAGGATGAAGTGCATATGTTAATGGAGCTTAAAGCCTTTGAGTGCCTGGTTAAGACTAGAGAGGTAGAGAAGACTGTGATTGACCTGGGGCTTTTATGGCCAATGTGAAATGGCATGGCTTTGTCCAAGCTTGGAGTTGGGTCACCCCCGTGCTCATGATGTCTCTTTGGTGTACGGTGGCAGGTGACATTGGGCACACATTTCCACCTGCACTTGTTTTTACAAATTGCTTTGCACGCTGGCAGAACTCTGGTGTGACTGTTCATCTTTCCCGCCCTGCCTCATATACACACGGTCACTTTCCTTATAGCTGCTGATGTGCGGCCTCGGCGACGTGGACGTGAACGACTGGAGACAGCATTCTGTCTACAAGAATGGCTACTGCCCAAATCACCCTGTCATTCAGTGGTTCTGGAAGGTAACTGCAGGTCTCCGGGGGCCTCCCTGGTGTGGCAGGAGCCACAGGGGTCACTCCTTGCTCCATGTGCCCCCCACACACACCGGGTTAGATCTGAGGGCTCCGTGCTCCCTTCTGTAGTGTCACTTGAGGGCTGACACTGGAAACTGGGGAGTGCTACATTCACACTGGGGGCAGAGAGGAGGCCGAGTGAGCCAGGAGACAGTCTCCCTGCTGCTTGTCTGCATCCCTTACGGACAGCGAGGCCTTGAGTAAGGCGGCTTCCCATCACAATGCACTGTCCTCCTTAAGCTGCTGCCTTGAAGTTGCTTTTATCTGGAGAACCCAGAGAATAGGATGGTTGGAAAAGGTGCTACCTGTGCTCAGATCTGAAACCAGCCCACCCGAGGGAGGGCAAGAAGGGCAGGCTTCTCAGGCAATCCCAGACTTTGGCTCTTAACTTTTCTTTTTTCTTTTTTTTTTTTTTAAAAAAAAAGTGCTGTTTAATTCACTGTTCATTTAGGAATGTATCTGGGTGGTTTATTGCCCCCTTCTGACCCTAAGTGTTTTGTTTTTTAAATTTCGGTGAAAGTTTACAAAGCACATTGGTTTTCCAATCAACAGTTCATACACATTTTGATTCTTGACATTGACTGCAATCCCCACAGTGTAACACATTGTGATCTCTCACTGAGATCTTCCCACTTCCTCCCTGTCTTTCCCATTTCCATTTGGCCTTCCTTCCGGTCCCTTCCTGCCTTCTGAGCTTTTTATCTCTGGACACATGCTGCCCTCTGAGAACTTACTTTCCCAAGATGCCATTTTCTGGTAAAAACTATTTTCCCTGTTTTTTATTAATTCCAACCAACATTTTGAGCTTTCCTGTGTCATGCAAATGTTTTTATTCCACTCAACTTAAGAGGGAAGTGAAACCAGAATGAGTGGGTGCAAAGGAGATTTGAGTTGAGTTTAAAATTCTAGGTCTTTTTAAAAGGATGATTGTTTACTTAGAGGAAAAAAGAAATCTTCTAACTTGTTTTAATACTAGAAGTCTATTATTAATAGTATTTCAAGTGCCGGACGAAGTCGAGAGAAAAAAAACAAAGAGCTGGTTCTTTGTAAGCCCTTATCCCTGTCCCACCCATTGATTTTGGATTCTTTTTCACTGCAATTCAAATAACATTACCAATGAAGCCAGTGAAGTTTCCGCTAGCATTCAGACATGGAAGACAGGCACATGGTTTAGAGGTCTGTGCTTCCCTCTCCCCACCCCCTTTTTTTTCCTTTTATCGAATGTTACCTCAGAGAATTGGTCTGCATATGAAATCCCATCTCGCATGCTCATGGGTTCCCTGGCATTCATGGCTCCCTAAAAGTCTTTATAATTGGCTTATGGGGAGCTGGCACAGCTTAACACTCAGAAACACGAGCTTGATGCCATCAGGAGTTGGCTTTTTATGTCATTTATTTGGACATATTGGCAGAAGGAGAGAGACTCACTGTGATCTCTCACTAAGATTACACAGGTCAGGATGGGGTGGCCAGGTTTCAGAGTCAGCCCTCTAGATGAACAGGTGAGTCCTGCGTGCCTGCCCCACAGCCGTGTGTGTGGGTCTCGTGGGGCTGCGCTGACCTCCTGCCCTGTTCCAGGCGGTGCTCCTGATGGATGCTGAGAAGCGCATCCGGTTACTGCAGTTTGTCACGGGGACGTCCCGAGTGCCCATGAACGGATTTGCCGAACTTTACGGTGAGCACCATCATTTTGGGCCCAGGTGCCCTCCTGTGACTCTAGCCTAGATATGGCTGTGTCCCTGGATGACTCTGCCTCTTGGGCCCTAAGACAGGGCTACGACACCTGTTCATAACAGTGTCACAGCAAGTTCCCTAAAAGTACAGGTAGTCCCTGACTATTCGGGCTACTGCAAACCACGCTTACTACCATCTGTCTGGGGGTTTGTGCATCCTGTTGTTAGTAACACATACTGCATACAGTGTTGCAGCAAGTAATCGTGTCTGTCATCATTCTCAGGTGTTCAGAGACAGACAGTATTTGTAAAGATACTGATAACGAAAGGTAATAATAATGGAAGCTAAAAAAAAAATGATGTTCAACTTAGGTCAGAACCAACTTAGGTCAGAGTTGATGGAATGAAGCCCCGTTGTAAGTCAGGGACGGCCTGTACTTCACACAGGTACCTGTGCCTGGGCGTCAAGCTCCTGTCACCTTTATGTAAGGGCCCTACATCCCCAGGAAGCCAGGTTTAGTCTTCTTTTAATTTTGTTTTTGTTTCGCTTTCTTGGTGCATCTTCAAAAACTAGGCTTTACAGAATCACCCATGTAATTATAAACAGGAGTAACCTTAACAGGGCCCATCACCTCCAGGAAGGAGGATTTCACAGTACTTACAATAGATTGTTTTTTTTTTAAAGTCAGTCTTCTCTGTAAACCAAAGGTCACCTTTCTTTTTCCTTTCCCACCCAAACCCCTTTTACATGTAAACTTCCAGTTTTAAGGACTGTGGGCTGTTGCAGTTCCATATGTCATGTGGTTAAACTGGGCGAGAGCCCACTCGGAAGCCTTGCAGTCTTTGTGGTGGCGAGGTGCAGCCCTTGCTTCCTCCAGCATTGAATACTACGTCGTAGCAGACGGGGGGGGGGGGGCCCTCCGGACGGAGGCAGGCACACCCTGCCCCGGTGTGGCCCTGATGGGGCCAAGCATTCTCCTGCTCCCCTGTTGGTCTGCAGTCGTAACTCGGCTGTGTTCTGCTGCCCTAACCCCTCTGCCCGTTAGTTTTTGTTTTCTTCTTTCCTCCAGGTTCCAATGGCCCTCAGCTGTTTACAATAGAGCAATGGGGGAGTCCCGAAAAGCTGCCCAGGGCTCACACGTGGTAAGTGGCAGAAGCCCCTGCGGTCAACACAGTACTTTCAGTACTTAGCCGTGTGTAGTGCTGGGCTGGGGGTTACACACTGCCACATGCTTCCCACCCCTCGGTGGCTTCGTGGTGTTGCCAGGCGCTTCGGGTTGGTTTTGCCTAAAGGCAACCCCATGTCACCTAGTAGAGCTAGGATGTTCTTGGCTGTAATCTTTACAGAAGCCGATTGCTAGTTTTTTCACCCATGGAGCTAGGTGGGTTTGAACCATCAGGCTTGCAGTTAGCAGCCAAGCTCTTACTCATTGCACCACCAGGGCTCCTTCATAAAGAGCTTAGAATTTTCAGTGACAATGACACCAATGAAAATGGAAATTGTGTGGTAATAGCAGGGCTTCGTACCTGCTCGTTCATATATACATATGAATCATCTGGAAGTCTTATTCAAATGTAACAAAATCTGGGGTGGAAATGCAACTTCTCATCAGGGAGTCAAACCAGAACGGGTCCTAGCCCTGGGTAACTCCAGCAACACGCACATCAGCATTTACACAGATCCAGTATGTTTGGCACCAAAAGGGCTAAACCTTCCATACTACAGCAATTCTTCCTTGAAACCCCCTCCTGCCCTAATTATTCTGGGCAGCAGAGATTTCACTATATAGTCGGTATATACAGGTGTGGCAGACACTGCCCTAAAAGCAGATTGAGTTTTTACCCAAATGTTAAATTGGTTGTTTAGAATTTAGAATAAAATTACCTATAGAAACATGTTGTTGTTATGTGCCATTGAGTCAGAACCAACTCATAACGACCCCTCCTTGGGTTTCCGAGGCGGTATCACTACGGATGTAGATTGCCGAACCTTCCTTCCGAGGTGTGGCTGGTGGGTTTAATTTAAAAAATCCTCCATGCCCGTCAGTAAGCCATGTGATTCCCTGGAATTGAGTAATAATGCCAACGTTTCGGGGGCGCATAAACCTGAGCGATGACGCTGTGCCCCGGGGCGAGCTGTGGGCAGAGGCCTTCCCAGGATGTGAAGCTGAGGAGGAGGGAGCTCCATGGTTTACTCTGCAGAGCTCCCTGCCACACACAGCGCAGTCTGTGCAGTGGGCTCTTGGGAGTGTTCCATGAGCTCTGGCCTTACTGATCCTAGCCCTCCTTGATCCCTCCGGTAGGTCTTCCCGCACAGGCTTCTGTGTTTTGCTCTCTGGGAAGCGGGCCTTCTGGAATGGTGAGCCACTCACGCAGACAGCCCTGCTTTTCTCAGTTGCCTCCCAGAGGCCATGTCGGCCACTCTGAGCTTAATAATGCAACTGAACACCTAGTGCAGGAAACGCCCACCCTGAACAAGCAGCGCTGGTGCAGACAAAACTTGCCTGAAAATGTGTTTGCGAAAATGGCTGTGAAGGGTTTCTGCTGCTGCTCCATTCCCTGGCCTCCCCGAAAGAAAGGTGTTCCATTCATGCCATTCTTCCGACTCCCCCAGTGCAACGAATATAGTGGTCCCTGCCTAAGACGTGTATGCCCGCGTCCCTGCTTTTGTTCCAGGGGGACAGTACTTTGGTAGTTGGGAGCTTTGATTCCAAACAGTATCGGAGTCAAGTGTGGCTCTCTGGGTTCTGATAGGAGTAACTGGGCAGCACAGATGGTTAACGTGCTCAGCTGCTACCCAAAGGTTGGTTAAGATCTGAGTCTGCCCAGAGGCACCTTGGAAGAGAGGCCTGGAATTCTGCCTCTGAAAAACCAACCTTTGGAAACCCCGTGGCTCACAGTTCGACTTAGACACATATACGGGTCACTGTGAGTCTGAACTAACTCCATGGCAACTGGCACTGGTGGATTACCATACCTTTGATTTCACAGGCAGCTGACACTGAGCCAAACCCCAGGACTACTGGTGGTGTTGCAGAACCCCAGACTCCTAGTGCTAGTAATGAAGAGCACGAATAAGAGCTAAATCATTACAGCCATCATCTGGGGGACAGGCACTTGTACTACGTGCTTTACTCATGTGGGCCTATTTAACGTTTTTGGCAACCGTGTTTTACTTCTGTTATCCTTGGGAGCTTGTAGTATGCTTACCCATGACCACACAGTTTAGAAATGCACAAAGCACAGCATTTGAGCTCTGCCCTGCCTGAATTAGAATCTGTACCTTTCACCAGCCACATCACACATGCTGACTCCATTGATAAGGCTCACTCTCTCCTTCGACCGTTCAAGGAGAAGCCACTGATGTGGCGTATGGTCAGTGCCCACTGTGGTCCTGTTGACAGATACTTCTTTATTTTTCTCGTTGCCATCAAACCGATTTCAAATCATGGCAACCCCGTGTGTGTAAAGTAGAACTGTGTTCCACGAGATTGTCAAGGCTGTGACCTTTAGGAAGGAGATGGCCAGACCTGTCTTCCGAGGCACCTCTGGGTGGGTTTCAGATGGTAGTCGAGGGTGTAACTGTTTGAGACTTCTCTGTGGATAGACATCTTCCTGTTGGATGTTTTCTATCTTGCCATCCACATGCTTCAGCCACTACCAGAAAACGGGGCTGTCAAGGTGAGCTGTCCAAACTCAGTGGTTCTCAGCCGTGGCTGCAAGTTGGAACCACCTAGAGAGCTTTGAAAAACACACTGATGCCACGGTCCAGCCCCAGAGATTGAGACTCGGTTGAGGATGGGGCCTGAGCACTGGGATGTTAGAAGCTCCCCCAGGTGATTCTCATGTATGGCCAGGCTTTTCTTTCCTCCATAGTTTATGTAGCTGCTTTGGTGTGGGCAGTTTCCTGGCTGGAATTTGTATTTTGGCACTCAACATGGTTGGCCAAGACTTGTTCCTCCTCTCTCCCAAACACCAAATGGCCCCTTTGCAGATCCAGGAGACGCTGTTGTGATTGAAGAATAACGGTTGCTTGTTACCACCCCTCTTCCTTTTGCAGCTTTAATCGCCTTGACTTACCTCCGTACGAAACCTTCGAAGATTTACGAGAGAAACTTCTCATGGCTGTGGAAAACGCTCAAGGATTTGAAGGGGTGGATTAAGCGCCCCTGCCTCGGGGTGGTCGTTCATTGAGCAAGTTCGCTTGCACTTTTGCGTTTTCCTCACAGACTTTTGCAGAGATGATGGCGGGCGCAGGGTTGCGCAGCGTGGGGCTCCTGGAGCAGAACCTCGTCCCGTGCACTTGCCCGACTTGAGAGGTGGGAGCCGGTCACAGCGTGTGCTCCTCCCTGCGTCCTCCACCTCGAGTTACCAACTGGCTGACGTGTACACTAATGACCTTTCAGGAGGACTTAATCTATTTATGTTGTGCCTCTGTAGGCAAAGCCCTTAATAAATATTTTACATACTTTCTAATGACAATGAATGGAATTAATCACTACAGGTATAGTATTACAACTCATGTTTACTTTTTTAAATGATTTAGACCGATTTTCAGATTTTATTTCATTACGATTAAAGATGTCTCCTGTACTTGGAAAGTGAGCTTTTTTTTTTTTTTTCCTGAATTTCCTGCCAGGCTTTGTGTCTATGATGTTTTTATTGTTGAAGTCCTTTGACACTCCCACCCTCTACTTTATTAGAATCAGAAGACTGATCTTTGTCCAGAAACCTGCTACAGACAAGTACTTTGAGAGAACATGATGCATCATGTTATTTTTTTCCATACCCAGGGAGGATGAGAACAAACTGGATATTACGTTTTGTTTTGTTTTTTGTACAAGCTTGGCATAACAGCTACAGGCTGAGAGAATCATAACATAGCATGCCAACTTTATGTTGACTCGAGAGGAATTACACCATTATTCCTTAGAAGTAATTACGTGTGCTATGACACATTTGAGACAGGGTTGGACTATCCGTTCTCCTGGGAGAGATTGCTGAACCCTTCCTGATGTTGTACAGTCACCCTTTTATTATATTTTCCTCTTTGCTGTTTTGAATGAAACTTGGCCCTGCTCAATTTGAAACTGTGGAAACCAGCTTCGTCTCGTCTCCTGTGTGTATGCATTTGCTAACGGTCGCCAAATAACCCATTTTCATTCATGCTGACCCGATTCTGAAGGCACTTTATGTCCTCCGTGGAGGTCACGTCTGGTTTTGTTTTCGCTTTGTTTTTTACCGTAAGCATTAAATGTGACGATGAGCTCTTCTCTCTGCACACGTCCTTCTGGTGCGCTAGCTGTCCATTGTGCATCTGGCTGCTGATGTTTAAAACCCAGATGCAGAGCTGTGCCTGCAGACCCGTCCCTGCCAACTGTTGTGTGATATCTACTCAGCTCCCGAGATTTATTTGATAGACATTTAATCTAACCAAGTTTTGTTACCTATGATGTGTTGCATGCTTAAATACTGTGCACTGAGTTGTAGCTACTGTGCGCTAGACAGAAAGGGAGCAAGAAGATTTGCTTGGCTCCACGGAAGTCCAGCGTTTAGACTGGTAGTGGTGTAGGACATCCTCAGGTGCCTGTGCAATTTGGTTCTTTGCCACTTTGTAAGTCTGGAAAGTTGTTGTTACCGGATTCTGTTGTTTTGAGGGAATGTCTGAGATAGTCTGGGAGGTCAGCTGTCATGATTTCCTTTTTAGCCCATACTGTCCCACACCGTGTCATGGCATTTAGGACACGCTGGAGATTTGATCTCGTGCCATTTGTGGACAAGACAGAAAGGTGTGGTTTCAGGAGTCCCACTGGTTGCCTAAGAAGGACCTTAAGGTGTAAGGAAAGACTGAGGACCTGGCCAAGGGTGTTTGTGGTCATAGGAAAAGCTGAGGACCCAGCCATGGGTGTGTGGTGATCAATGAGTTGTCTGAAGGGGTGCAGACACCTGAAATTTCTCATAGAAGACTTCTGCAGAGCCAAATACCAGCTCCCTTTTTATATTAGTTTAAAAACGTCCAATGATAATCACATACCAAGTTAATATCAAGAACAATATCACTCATTATTTTTTACCTGTTGGTGGAATGTTTTGCCCTGTGGCCAAGCTAGCAAATGTCTCGTAAGTGGCAAAATCGCCCTTTTGTGACCCTCATCATCCTGAACGTTTTCTTTTTCGGAATCGTGCTGAAGCCCAAGCTGAGCGGTGTGCTCTGCTGGTGTCTGAGAGAGAGTGTGAGGTTACAGAGAGAGCAGACCAACCATTCTAGGAACTGGGCTCCCTCTGTCGTTCTGTAAATTGTGTGTTCAGAAAAGAACGCCCACTAAAAGCAAATTGGACAAAGTACTTAAAGTGTTAATGAAAAATCATTCTAAGTCCTAAACCAAGAACAGATGAGAATCATCAGAACATACCCCTCTGAACACTGGAAAGAGAGCAATTGTGAGGGACAGACAGTTCAGCCCATCTACCCCTTAGTGACACCTGATTTTAATGACAACTGAATATTGCTGGGCTTGGAGGTCTTCTTTTAATGAAAGTAAGATTCACTGTTATTAGATTCTCAGTGTTCCACCATTTGTCTGAAATTGCCATAGATCTTGTTTCTGAGAAATCTTGATGACCACACCCCATCATCTTCAGGACGTACGTAATTGCAGGTGGCAGGCAAGACAGTGTGCAGCCTAAAGAGTAGGTTGCTTGGTCATTGCTGGGTGGCTGCCAACCTGCCCTAGGAGGAGAGAAGTGTTGCCTGTTTCAGGCTGTCCTGAGCAGCCCATGCTGCTCCGTGGTCCAGGGTCTCTCTAGTGTCTGTTTCCTGCCCACCACAGGAATTACATCACGCAGGTTCCTTCATTCCCTGCAGCAGGGCCAGTTGTTAAAGGACTCCTGAATCACAGGGCTAAGAAGGTAGTTCCAAAACTTACCATGTTGTGTGATGAAGGTCTGTGAACACCTGGAGCTCCTGAGTGTTCTATCCATACTCCTGTCGGCCAAAGGATGGATTTGGAAATTCTGTCTAGTGGGATTAGCCTCTGGAAGGGACATGAGGAGGCATCAAGCTGTGCCTAGTTGTGTCCATTTCATTGCTTTTCTCTTTTTTTTTTTTAATGCCTAAAACATGACCGTAGTTTACTTTTCTGTGGCAAGTCTTCTGACAAGTCGCAACAGCATACAACGTGTGTTTAATTTTGGTTTCCTTGTTAGCCACCTAAGCTCAGGTGGCAAATGATACAAAGCCACCTGACAGGACTTACTCCTCCCACTTACGGACACAGTGACAGATTCTGAAAAGTGGTTTGCAAAACGTTTGAATCAGCCTGCACCCCATATTGTTAAGCAGACCGTGTATGTACCATTGTTGTTTGACCTTGCCAGATCCAGTTTGGTTGTCTTGAAAGCCAAGTTCATAGGCAGCAAATCACTAATTGTCGTAGCAGTGACTGACGGTTTAAGAGTTCCCTTTAATGTTTCCCTAAGAGTCCCATATCTCGCCTTTGGAATTTTAACATCTCTAAAGAGAGCCTGGGTTTGTCCATTCTTGAGCCCCTCACCACCGGGCTAGCTCTCCTCTTTCTTTGCCTCTCTCCTCCTGGGCCTGATTCTGTCACTGTACTAGGAGAGAGAGGTGGGGAGGTGCTGTCTGGCATCATTTTCTGACTTGCCAGTAGGAGGTGCTGCTGTGCAGGGTAACCACCTGGCTGCTCCCTTTCCGACCCCAGAAGATCACGCACTACCTCTGTCCTTCAGGCTTTGGGGTATGCCCTGAGAAGTCGTGTCAAAACTGCCAACTTCAGGTCTGAGATGCGTTTAGAAAAATCCTTATAAACCCCACTTTGTACTTTAGATTTTAAAACTGGGAAGAAAATGTGATATACTTTGGACCACTTGCTTTTATTTATATAAGCCTTAATGAACAGTGTATATATATATTTGCATACATACATCCCCACCCCAGGTGTTTCCGTATATCAGAAAATGCTGTAGCGTTAGGACACAAGCCGGGATCGTGTTTTACAGGAAGAGATAGCTTTGTGTTTGTGTGGAGTTTTCCAAGAAAACCTCTCGTCAGATAGTCATCCTTCGTTTGAGATGTTATCACTCAAGGCAGTGCATGTTAGAAAGGCATGTCTTTGCGTTAGCTGGTTTCATGTTTGTAAGGAGTAGTAACAGGAGTCTAACCACATCGCCTGTGCCCACCACCCTCTGGTACTGCATTCTCAACCTTGTATCCGGGCATCAAAAGCCTTCCTCTTGGCCACAGCCATTGACATCATGTTCCTGTAGAAGCCGATTGGGTCCTCTTTTCTCAGACGAATGTCACCTAGATTGTCACGGTTTCCTTCATGTTAACTTTGTTATTCCTTTACTACTACATATGTAAGATATATATACATATATACGTGCATATACTGTCCAAATATATATGTATATATTTATATAGCATTTTTACGCCTTCACTGAGTAATCTGGTTTCAAAAGGAAGTGGGAATTTAGTCCCTTGTACAATTTTCTCCAAGCTGTGTCCTTACTATTCTGCCCCTCAGTGCCCGAGAAAACCTCAACCAGATGATGCCAGTTTGCTGTCATTTCTTAATTCAAGATCTGTTATCAAATGAAACATGAACAAAACAGTGACTTTTAAGGTGAAAAGAGTTTCAAGCATTCCAAATGAATTCTCAGTGTTTCATAACTTTTTAATATAAACCACCTCCTAATAGGAAGCCAAGTACTATTTGATACACTGGTTTAAAAAAAGAAAAACTACCTTGAAATTTTTTAAAGACAACTTACGGATAATGCTCATTTTCACAGTGGGAATAGCTTTAAAATAATGGTGAAATTTGATACACACTGCAAAAGTTTTGTTTAAGGACAAATCCTTTTTTGCTTTTCATTTTCCTTAAGATCTAAAGAGAAATTGTAGCTTGTTTTCCTGACAGCAGAAGAGTAATGTGACACCATGAAGTCATTGTAATGAAGTGATGCAACTTGTCAAATATTTAATAAAGAATTATGGAAGCTGGAAAAGTTTCTACATCGAGTATTATGGATTGTCTCATTGAAAGCCTATTCGTGAATGCATCATTCTGATTGTCGCAGAGAGATTGAACGCCTGCAGATCCCAATGTGTTCGTTTCCTTCATCTCCCTATAAGTTTTCC